GCAATCACTCAAAAACTGCTACAGGATAGCAGAGCAGAAGATTTATACCCGGATGACAAGGACAGCTGCCTTTTGATGGGAAAGGGGAATTACCATTCTAGTTCCCACCCCCAGCCTCACCTTGCACGTCCATTTCCGTATTTGTATCCCAGATTTCAGTATTTCCGTCCCATATGATTTGTGAGCTAGAGCAATGTGAACAAGTGGGTGCCTCCGATGAAGTGCTGTTGTGTGTGTGTGCGCACGTGTGTGTGTGTCAGGGGCAGGTGGAAGTCACCTTGTGGGATTCTGCTGGTTTCCTGTACTTCTTTCTCAGGAGAAGGAGATGACTTCGGGTATTTTCCTGACAGCGGTCTTGACCCCGTGTGTCCTGCGCTGGTTCTTCCCTGTCAGAAAGCCCTTTGCCTGAGAATGTGTCTAGCTTGGTTCAGCCCCTGGGCTCAGGTGTGGGCTACAGTGTGTGTGTGAGTGGCTGGGAGGTTCCGGATCATGCTCATCACAGTTGACTGGCTTTTTCCTTCGGGCTGTCGAGGACACAGAGCACGTAGCTCCTGGCAGCTTGTGTGCAGGGTTTACGCTTGCTGTGAGCATGAAGTAGAGAGCATGGGCCTCTGAACAAGAAAGACCTCCGGGTGGAGTCTAGCCGTGCCCATTCCTAGCTCGGTGGCTCTGTGCAAGCCACTTTGCCTCCCTTGGTCTCAGTTTTCCCCTCTGTCAATGGGGGGTATTAATTCCTGCCTTGAACATTGATGTAAAGATTAAGGAAAATAAAACGTAAAATGTTTGGAAGATACAGCATCTTCCTATCATTCCAGACAGCTTTATAAACTCTCCCTACTTAATTAAAATAAAAAATGAAATCCTTTCTCCTTTAGGGATGCTGCTTTGGCCCATGATGTGCCCATTATCGGTACTTTGTCCCAGTAGCATTTTCTGTAAAGAGAACCATCCTATGACTTCTGGGGGAGTAAAGGACTCCTGGCTATTGTTCGTTGGAATTCTCCAGCATGAATACAACCAAGGCTTGGAAACTGGCGGTGGGGGAAAGAAATTCTCAAGAGTAAGGTGACTTGGGTTTTAGGGAAAAGGTCGTAAGCGACTCTTTGCTCAGTAATTTTGTCTGGAAGGCCTGCGGTGGCTGCTTGGCTGTCCTGGGATTGGTGAGTTTTATAGCGTTAGGCCCTTTAAGGGCAGGATGGTCAAGGCCACTGAGCAATCTCAGGCCAAGTTTTTCTATCAGTGCCGGCAGATATCTGGGTGCCTGTCTTCAGGCACGTGTGCTGGGCGAGAAGGTACAGCACTGAACGGAAACCTCCGTGGGGTTCCCAATCAGTAGGGCAGACTGGCATCAATCAAAGACCTCAAAAAATAAAGAGGAAATTTATACTGGGAGGAGAGTCCTGTGGGATCCGTGTAGGACTTCTGAGATCAAGTAAGAAAACCCAATCGGGTGAGAGAGTTCAAAAAGGATGTTCATGAAGGCTGGAGAGTTGCCAGGTGAACAGGCGCTTAGGTGAGTGCGAGGAGGAGAGCATGTATGAGGATGGGACGGAGCCAGACCCCGGACCCCAGACCCCGGAGAAGGGCCTGTGAGGTGAGGGGAGGAGGGAAGGGAGAGTGTAGCCTGAGAAGGCTCCTAAGAGGCTGCCAGTGAGTGGATGGGCTGACTGGGCATGCCTTGCCGGGCAGGCGGTGTTGAAGACATTGGACTTTTCTTGAAAGCACCGGGAGCTATTGAAATGAAGCAGTACTTTGCATTTTGCAAGTAATCTGGCGCTGCCCTGGACGGGCATAGGAGGTGACAAATTAGGGGACATTGTAGCTGTCCAGACTAGAGATGGAGGTGACCCAGGGAGGGTGGCCATAGCAGAGGTGAGCCGAGAGGATGGAGTCCAGCCCAGTGGGAGCTGGAGGGGCCGGCTGCGCGGGGCCAGTTGGCCCGGGCTCCCTGAACGTTGCCGGCAGGAGCCATGAGAACGGGCTTTTGTATGTTGGCTCAGCACCCATACAGCTCTGGATTGTGTCTTAAAACCAGTGCAGCCAACTAGGACATGGAATAATTTCTTCCATGGTTTTTTTTATAAATATAATTATATGTTGTGTTGGTGAATTGAAGAAATACACATTGTGTTTCTAGGTTATGAATGGAAATGTACTCACTGCCTATAATTGTAGCAGTCTTTACAGATTATACTGATTTTAGAATACTACAATTTGAAAGTCTTTTAATTATAATATAATACATATTTAAGATAACTTTGCTGTAATTATAGAATAATTAAAATTTATATTTACCAGATTAGATGACCTGGGTCCCCGTCACTTTGCATTCCTATGGAGGTGTATCCTTAAAAGTCAGTGTTAATTAATTGCAGATAGAAATGTGCTTTATACCCTGTGAAAGGAAGGGAAGAGCCACATTTTCCTAATTTCTTATAGGCTGATATGAGGAGAAATTGCTCCCGTAATCAAAGCACATCCCGGTGGACTTGGTCAAGCACTGTGGGTTTTAATCTATCTTCCCGACTCCCCTCCACCCTCGTCCGCTGCAACTGAGAACATTCTGATGCCTGGGGCCCTCCACGTTTTGTTAGAACATCATAGAAGGATGGAAAGACTTAAAGAGGCCTTAGATCAGCCCCGGAGAGGGGCCTGGCGGTTTTGTGGGCTGCAGAACAGCAGAGAATATTGAGAAGGCGTCCCAGAGCTTGACTACCGGAGGCTTGTGCCAGGTCCAACTTCGGTGTCTGTGGATTCAGCTGCACAAATCAGTAATTTAAGAGTGGAAGAGAAAGCCCCCATTTCTCATAGGGCCGATGACACCCCAGCCTTCCCTCCTAGAGCATGTGCCCTCAGACAGTGGGTGTCCTCAGTGGGGAGCACCTGTCCCCTTCCTCGCCAGTCCCTGGTGAGAAGGGGCGCGCGCTCTCTTGGGTCCCCTGCTGCTGCAGATGCGTGGAACCTGGGGTCTGGGGCCAGGTTCCCGTGTGGGGATGACGCCCCGCATCCTTGGGGGAGACACAGAGGCAGTGGTGGGGAACCTGTAGGAGGTGCTAGAATTATCCTGAGGGGTAGGCAGTCAGCTTGGACATAGGCAAGCTCTCCCGTAGGGAATTGTTGGATCAAACCCCTGCATGGAATTCACTCCTGCCTGTTGTAGCCATCATGCGTTTGTGCTCCCTTGCCTCGCGAGAGTTGCTCATCCTGTGTTCACTGTGCTTTACCCGCCGTCCAAGGCTTTTTGAGGGGTGACTTTTGACTACGTAGGATTTTCCCTGTGCGTGCTCACCTACAACCTCATCCCCGCCCAGGAAGTGACTTTTCCTTAATAAAACCCAGAGACCTTTTCTGTTGGGATGTTCTTGAAGCCTGACCACCTCTTGCTCCAAATTAAGCTTTCTCATCTGCTTATGAGAGAAAACATGGAACATATTCCTACTTTCGAGGCAATTTCCCCTGAGCCGTTCCTTCTTCAGACCAAATAGCACATTGCATTTAACGTTCTCTACATCTTTTTAAAGAGGGGCAGACGGTGACTGCTCAGGCCCCTTGCCAGGAGGCGAGTGGGGTTCCTTCGTGCGGCTGAGGCCGTGGGGCAGAGGAGGAGGAGTCCAGCCTCCGGGGGGTCAGGCCGCGTGGGCTCTGTCCTGGCTCTCCAGCTTTTCCTGAATGACGTTGGACAAGCCGCTCACCTTCTTGAGGCCTCCGCTTCTACCGAAACAGAAGCAGGTTGGACAACCCTGAAGGCCCCCTCCGTCTCTAACATTCTGTGGTTAAAATGACCGCTTATTGAGCGCCTGCTGTATACACACATGGCACTGTCATGGGTAGGGGCTGGGCGGGGAGAGTTCCAAGGCCCTGCCCTGAAGGGGTTTAGAAATGTTTTCTCTGTTCAGGTGATAGGCAAAGCCCCTGCGTGGGGACATGAGCACAGAAGCCTTTGAGCTGGGCTCTCGGGTAGTCACCCCCTTGTCCGCACCTACAAATCAGGTCTGCAGTCGCCTCTCCTTCTGACACAGTGCCTGTGTTCATCTTCTAGCGAGCAGACCTTTTCTCTGAAGAAGCAGAGCGTAAATATTCTTAGTCTAGGGGCCATACGGTGTGTGTTACGATTCCACTCTGCTCTTGCAGCAAGAGCAGGTATAGCGGTGTATGCACGCGTGGGCGTGGCTGTGTGCGAATAAAACTTTATTTATGGAGATAGTTTGCTGACTTTAGAAAGTTCGAGTTTATAAAAGGTTACCACTCCAAAAAAATAAATAAATAAACGGTTAACACTGTCTTAAACCCTAGAAATGGTTGCCTCATCGTCACTGGGTCTGTGGACATGGCCGGGGATTACCTCACACGGGGCAGGCTCAGCATTGACTCTACCTTTAGGTTTTCACCAGCGGAGACCTGACTGTAGGTCTTTTTGTTCCTGGGCTTGTTTTATAAGAGGAACATTCAGGACTCTCCACTGGGGAGTTACACTGACTGCCAGGGATTCCCAGGGGCCTCCCCGAGACAGGAGAGCGGAGGCTTGCCATCTTTGTCTTCAGGGACAGAAGCTTCTGCCCGAACACAGGCTCTTTGATTGCGGCTGACCCGACAAACCAGCATGTACCCATTTTGGGAAACAACCACAGGCCCTCACCTTGTTCATCCCTTAGGCTCTCCGGAATGTTCTAAAAAGAAAGAATACTGTCTGGCTGCCACATCTGGGGTTTTGTTGGCAGAAGTCTCTGTGGGGTTGCACAAGGCAAGAAGGCCAGTCAGGAGGGGTCACCCAGGAAGTCTTCCTCGTCGGGAGGATAAAGGCGCCCTCCGGGCATTGGAAACAACCGGAAATGGCCGGTCCTCGGAAAACTGCGACCTTACATCCTGAGTATCCTTAAATAGTTGTTTTGAGTCCGGGAAAGAGGTGATGTCCACTCCGGCCAGGACTCGAGGGAGGAAGGGCATTTATTTTAGGGCTGGTGTTTCAGTGAGCCACGCTCGGGCCTTTGTTTTGTTTCCAGGGAGAGGCGATATCCAGCCTCAGTTGGACAGTGCTCTCCAGGATGTCAACGACAAGTATCTCCTGCTGGAAGAAACAGAAAAGCAGGCGGTCCGGAAGGCTTTGATTGAGGAGCGCGGCCGATTCTGCACCTTCATTGCTATGCTGCGGCCAGTGATTGTAAGTTAGTGGAAAGCTCTGGAAGGCTTCAGCTGCCAGTTTGGAGGAGATTTTCCTTTATCCATCCACCCGTCCTTGAGTCCCGGGGAATTTGCTGCGTGTCAGGGATCGTGATGGCGGAAGTGCTTCCGTAGGCCGGTGACGCTCTCTGGGTCGCTGTTCCTTGTTCATGGTTCTTAGCACCGGTCATTCACTTACTCTTTCTCCCCAAGTCAAGAAGGCCTTGCAGGGTGGTTCTTAAGGTGTGGTGGGCCCCAGGCCGGCAGCGTCCCCCGGGAACCGGTTAGAAATGCAGCTTCTTGGGGCGCCTGGGTGGCTCAGTCATTAAGCGTCTGCCTTCAGCTCAGGTCATGGTCCCGGGGTCCTGGGATCGAGCCCCGCGTCGGGCTCCCTGCTCGGCAGGAAGCCTGCTTCTCCCTCTGACCCTCCCCCTGCTGTGTCCCTTTCTTGCTGTATCTCTCTCTGTCAAATAAATAAATAAAATCTTAAAAAAAAATGCAGCTTCTTGAGCCCAACCCAGACCCTCCTGAATCCAAACCTCTGGGGTGGGGACCCAGTCATCTGGGTTTTAAACAAGGCCTTCGGGTGGTTTTGAGACTCGGTGGCCGACTTCAACACCAGTGAGTGACCGTGAAATTAATATGGGAAGATCCTCAATGAATCAGTGCAGACTTAATTTTTTAAGTAAATCATTTCCATGCGATAATTGAGGACTTCTGCTGTCAGCATTCTTGAAGCTGGTAAGACACCAGCTCATTTCCCTCAGCCCTAGCAAAATGCCCAAATATGAGTCAGCCTCTGAGCATAGAACTTGTCCGTGGCTCAGTCTTGCCCAGGCCTGCAGTCCCAGCTTGGCACTTCAGTGGAGCGGATGACTCCCTTCCGTAGTCTCCTGCTCCTGTCTCACTTGCCGTTTATTAAGCTGGTGGAAAACACAAGAGAGAAGGGGGATAGTTAACGCTACTGCGCACACGTGGGCTGTCACAGAGATCCGTTATCCGATCCGGACCCAAATCACTGCCACTCGGGTCAGCCACTGAAGTGGAGTGACTTCAGAGCAGGGCCTCAGCCCGTGGAGGGGCTGTGCTGCAGGATCCCGTGGGAATACACAGGCGGACCATCTGAGCAGGTGTGCTAGCCCCCCCCCCCCAGCACTGCAAGGAAGGCCACGTGTTTGCTTTGACTTGCTCACCATGTCTGGGGGGCGCAGTCACTCCATAATTATGGCAGAGTCCTTTTTCCCTTTGTGTTTCCCAAGAGAGAGGGGAGGCGGTAGCGCCTTCAGCACAGAGGTACCAGTCTCGGGCGCCTTTTCTGAAACGCTGAAAGGGTTAGACAGAGAAACAGTTGGACCAAGACAAGGAAGTGAATCACTCATGATGACAACATGCTGTGCGTTACTGTCCTTCAGGAAGAAGAAATCTCAATGCTAGGGGAAATAACTCACCTTCAGACCATATCAGAAGATCTGAAAAGCCTGACCATGGACCCTCACAAACTGCCGTCCTCAAGTGAACAGGTAGGAGGCGTGGGTTGAGCACTCAAGAGAGCAAACCAAAGACCTAAAGGCTCAAGGTCTTGAGGGTTCCTTGAGGCATTCTCCCATTTAAAATCCTGTCGGTGTTTCACATGGGGATACATAGTCGTCATCACTGCGAGCCATTACAGAGCACCTGTTGTGGGCTAGGTAGTGTTCTAGGCTCTTGGCATAGACTTCCTCAGCTAATCTGCACTGTTATTTCCATTTTATAGAGCATGACAGTGAGGCTCGGAGAGAGAAAGTCACTTAGCCAGGTTCACCTAGCTAATTAGTGGCAGAACTGGGATTTGAACCAAGTAGTCAAGAGTCCGTGGTCTTAACCATTGTGTTTATCTGTCTTCTAGAAATAAACTCGTATAGGAACATGACCGTGATCTTGGTCATCCTTGTGAACCAGTCTCACTGAATTTCTCCCATTCTAATTAATTAATGCGTGAGGCTCTCTTATGAAAAAGATGACATTTTTCATGCTTATTCATTTAGTTCACATGACAGTAACATTATATCAGGTGGGAACAGCTGACGAATCACGTGCTGGCTTTTGCCCTTTGTACAAAATTCTTATTGCCTCCCTGGAGAACCAACTCCGAAGACAAACACAAGAGTGTATATTTTCCGTTCTATGAAATTGCTTTTGTTAAAACACAGCCGGCGTGCATTGACTCAATAAATAGACATTTATTGAGCATCTACTGTAAGAATGAAAGGTAGACCTCACATTCATGTACTTACTTGTCAGGCGGGGGAGCCAGATGCAGAAGTAACTGCGAAAGAATTGGCTTTTGCTCCTGATTCTGCCAGATTTTCAAATATCAAGTTGTGGTCAGATAGGGCACAAGTGACCACCAAATATCAAGCAGCTAAAATGCAAGATCAACCAATCCTATAGTTCTCGAAGACAAAAGTCCTATAAATTCTAGCCTGGATTATAAATGACTCTTGTAAATTGTTCATCTGTAACTGTAAATCAATCTCTCTTTCTCTCTCTCTCTCTCTCGACTGATATTCATGGTCCCCTCCCTCCCCTTGCAATTTTTTTTATATTTTTGCTTGTGTCAGAAAAAGGATGAGGACATTGATGGATTGGTAGTATGGTTCTTTAATTTAAAAAAAGACCTGAACAACAGTTTTTACATTATACCTCTGGATGATGGCAGAATTTTGATGTTACTGGTAAAGATTTGATGGATAACGTTTCCCTGCTCAGCTCCTTGCTTACCCACTTGGCTCTGTCCCCTTAGGTGATTTTGGACTTGAAAGGCTCTGATTACAGTTGGTCGTACCAGACGCCACCCTCTTCCCCCAGCACGACCATGTCCCGCAAGTCCAGCGTCTGCAGGTAAGTCAAGCTGGACCCTGCTCCTCCTGACACACTCGAGAAGCATCTAGAATAGTTCTGCCATCTGCAGAATTGTTTCCTAGCAGTTTTCTGTTTGACTGTTCTTGGCTTGCTGACTGCAGAGTTTACTGTCCTCTTCTTGAAGGATGGAAGGTTCACCATGCATCACTGATCCTTCTTGGTGTCCTCGACCGACTGATCTTTTTCTTGGACTTTCTGAAGCCAAATGACCTTCCCCTTCTTGTGAATGAGTGTTGAGAGTAAAGAGCAGGTTGGATCTGCCAAATCTGTGTCCGGTTGTGTCTCTGTACACACTTGTGTGTGTGCCCTTTCATATTTGAGCGTATCTAGTGAACACTGAACAGTGATTTCAGACTGAAGACGCTACATCCTGACGTTCCGGAACCTGAAAATGTTGGTTGATTTAGTGTCCTCTTTTGTAGGCTGTGTGTGTGTGTGTGTGTGTGTGTCTTTCTTTGACAAATCTACTGGGTTTTCAGTTTGGTAACCAAGAAAACCATCTCATTGGTATAAAACGAAGCTGCATGAGTATCTTGTCTCTCTTAGAGTGTGAGCTTCAGTCGAAAACCCCGTAGCACTGACGGCATCAGCTATGAACTTGGTGGAGCGCAGATGCCCTCTTCTGGCTGATTGGCAGGCTGTGGGGGGGAGGGGGGAAGCAGAAATTATGATGATCATCCCCAGCCGCAGTCATTTCCTCTGGCACGCTCCCCTGTATCTGTCGGAGCGTCCACACCAAGTGATTCTAGCCTGGGGCAGTCACACGGCCTTGACCACATTAGCTGTCAGCGTTGGCGAAATTTGACAAGACTCTCTTGCCAGGAGCAGAAACCGCAAACTTTCTAATCCTGGGCTGGGTTGTTTGTTCTACCCCTTCTGATACTTCTACGACTGTACTTTATATCTCGGTTGGGACCACAGAACTCTGTTCAGGTTTCTGGTTTTCGTAATTTGAGTAATTACCGTGCAGAGCGTTATTCGTTAGAGGTGGAAATGGAAGCAGACAACACCTCCAGGGAGTGTATCACTTCTCGACATCCTGTTGACTGTTCATCTCGGAAGCAAACAGCTTAGCACTGACTCCCTGGTGGTGTTGAAAGCTGCCCGCCTCTCTCCAGGTGTGCCGGTCACACCCAGCCCACAGATACTGTCACAGATTCTTGTGGTCAGGGTAAAGCCATTCATTAAAGCATCAACTTTGTTAATAAGAGGTACAGCACGGTGACATGGACACACTGAGTGGATTTGCTGATGTTCTTTATGATGGTCTTGAACCAGGTTCGTGTAGGATGGAGTCACCTCGAGGAGTCCCTTGGCACCTGCACTTCCAAGGCGTCGGTTGTCTGGGTTGACCTTGGTTTCCTGGCCCCAGATGGTCCATCTAAGGGAGACCCTCGCATATTCTAACCGGGTGACGCTGCAGCCTCATGGTTTTTGCTACAGGGTCATGGGATTCTGCGAGCTGCTGAGCAGAGACGATTAGCCCCATCTTTTCCTGCCGCAGACATTAGGTCTGTAGCTTTGGTGGTAGATGACGTGGCAGAATCGGGTAGCACTGGACTCTTCAGAATCATGGGCCTCCATGCTAGGGTCACCTCGTGGCACCATCAGAGAAGTGAGTCCCGGCAGACTCCTGGTTTATGATAACTCTAGTTTTCTCTCCCCTGCTCACGCGAAGAAGCTTTTGTTTGCTAGCTGAATCATCTGCTGGTTTTGAAACCATGCCTTACCGTTTGCCCCGCTTTTCTGTGGCAGGTAGCTGACTGCATTATGTTCTCCCCCCTCCCCCGCCCCCCCGTTTTTCCCGTCGCTCCTTCCTCCTTCCCTCCCACGCCTGCTCCCTCTGCTTGCCCCCACAGCAGCCTGAACAGTGTGAATAGCAGCGACTCGCGCTCCAGCGGCTCCCACTCCCACTCCCCGAGCTCCCACTACCGCTACCGCGGCTCCAACTTGGCCCAGCAGGCGCCCGTCCGCCTGTCCAGCGTGTCCTCCCACGACTCAGGATTCATTTCCCAGGACGCCTTCCAGTCTAAGTCACCGTCCCCCATGCCGCCAGAGGCCCCCAACCAGGTAAGGGGGCCCCGGGCTCCAGAAGCAGCTGTGGCGTCTAGTGCCCGGGCCCCCGCCCGTGGCTGCAACCAGGGAAGGACGTCGGCTCTAACAGACCCCTGTCCTCTTCCCACGAGAGACCGCTGGTCTAAGCTGTCACCTTTAGATGAGTTGTTTCCCCAAAGGGCGAGAACTCTAAGTTGGGGTTGAAGCCTGTCTCCATGGTGGTGATGGTCGCGTCACCCCGTTGGGTTGGGGAGTTCTCTTATGCAAGGAGACGGACCACCCTCTGGCGTCCCTGTAAGTGTCCGGCTCAGCATGGTGCTTAAGGAACGACATTGGTGAAAGGGCGGCCCCTCCCCTACCGCCCTCTCTGCTTCCCTCTGAGCGGTGGAGATTCTTGGGAGCCTTCCGGGGCGCTGCCCGGTTCCCTGTCGCAGCTGGTGCGAGAGTGAGAGTGGATCCTGAGAGCCCTTGCAGATGGGTTCTGTTGGCATTCTGCTCCCGGGAGGAGGGACGATGGGGACTCTTCCAACCGCCGCTGCCTAGGCGGTGGCGCTAGACCCAGCGCAGCCCGGGCCAGCGGTTGCAGCAGGGGCAGGGGCTGGAGGGGGCACTGGGACGCCCTCCCCCTGCTGCCCTCTCGGTTCCCCCTCCCCCAGCCCCCGTCCCTGTCCCCTAGCGGCGGCGGCCCGGCTTCCCCCTTTGTAAGCGGCCCGCGCGCCATCTGCTGGGGAGCCCTCTGCGCTCTCTGGGGCTGCCCACAGCCTTTGGTCCGGGAGCCTGTGGACTCAGAAGGTCACGTGCTTGTCTTGTTTATACAGGTACCCAATTTGCGTCACAGTCCCTGAGTATCTACCGTGTACCCGGCACCACCCTAAGACCCCCCCCGGCCCCCCACATGCTGTCCCTGTCGTCCTTCCGACAGCCACGGGGAGTATTTTTACGCCTACTCGGTTGTGGAAACGGGGGCTCAGAGATGTGACTTCCCCACGTTGTGCTACCATGTGACCTGCAGGGCAGGGGGCGGGGGGGGCTCCAGGAACAAGGGCTTCTGATGACTGATCCAGAGCCCTTTCTGTTCTTTCTCAGCCGTAAGGCGTCCTTGGAAGAGTGTTTGGGGGGCACTTCCTGGAGAGGAAGCAGCTGCAGTGTTGTGGGAATTTAAGCCAGAAGGCTACTTGCCTGACTTGCCTGACATTGCTGAACCCAGAGGCTCTCAGCTCGGTGGGCCCTCTGGCATTTTCCAGCCCTCTCAGGAGACTCTCTCTGTCCTCGACCTCACACAGAAACATCGAGGGCCAAGAGCCTTGGCTTTAAGCTCTAACGTGCTTGTCCTCACGGGGGTGCTCTGGCTTGGTCTGTCAGGTGCCCCCCTGCCTGTCGCCGCCGTGTGCGCACTAAACCACACCTGTGTGTCTTGAAAGCAGTGTGAATGGTTGGAAGCAAAACAGGGATGTGCGATTCTTCCAAGGCTGTTCCTCTGCGTGGCCGAATTCTGTGTGTGTTGATAGTCAGCGGACATGTTAACACGGTATCGTGTGCTGACGCTCCTTTCTACGAAAGGGGAGGCCTTGCGCTCCAGCCTTCCTGTCGCACTGTGTGTGTGGGTCAGGCTGAAGCAAGGCTTCTGCCTCCGGCTATGCTGAGGGAAGCAGAAGGTGGCGTGTGGGGATTTACTCAAATCTGAAAGCCGGTGCCCAAGATCTGCTTGGCTAGCAGCTCTAGGGTAGTCTTAATAAGCTCAGGGATGCTGCGGCATTTAGTAGAGAATTCCAGTTTTACCAAAAGGCATTAGGGCTGCTTATAGTTGTAAGGTAAAGGGGAAGCTTAAGGAAATCGTACAGATCACATAGGCCGGAGCATTTATTTAGGACGTGAGGAAGGGAACACACATCTCTAAGCGGCAAGACCCCTTCATTGCTCCCCTCAGTCTCATGGCTCGAAGTGAGTGCCGAGTGATGGAGGATGTTAAGAATTCCCCCGTTTTCCTACCCTGTGCTCTTTTCAAGTCGTACCTTAGTGCCTTAGGCCCAGGAGTGGGGCTGTGTCTGTGGTGAGGGTCTCATCCTAGAGCTCTTCATTCCATCAAGGTGAGAGGATCTTTAGGAAAAACGAACAGAAGTCAAAGGAAATAGGAACCCACAGCCCTGCGCTGGTTTATGGGCTTTTTTTCAAGTTGAACAGACTTGAATTGGAGGGACCAAAATGAACAGCCCTGGCACATTACAGGGATAACTGGCTTCTCTGGACACAGACGCACACGTACACATACGCTTTCGCCTTATCGTCATCCATTAGATACAAAGTCTCATTTCGTCTTCTTCCGTTCAATATTACTGATCCCTAAAGATGAAAGAAATTGAGGTTTAGATTAAGCCCGAGGTTCCCCCACTGAGAAGTGACAGAAACGTTACTTGGATCCGAACCCCTCAAACTTCGGATCCGGGACCGGTTCACCAGCCCCGAGCTTGAGGGGCTGCCAGGACACCCGCCAGGGAGCCTGTCCTTGCTGTGGTTCCACGGGGCCCCAGGCGGCAGAGTGTCTTCTTGGAGCCTCGCTGCTTGCAGGATGGAGAGCCCGGATGGAGATGGTTGGCGGAAACTTTTCTTTTTCTGGCAGTGAAAGAAGTGGACAGAAACATGAGTCCGGCCTCCTTGGCAGGGGATGTGGGAACACTTTGGGGGAAGTAATAGTAGACCCCAGTAGGGTTGGGCTTATTTAAACGAAAGGACGAGCCAGAGATTGCAGTTAGCTGTGAACAAAACTTAGAGCAAATACCTGGGTGTGCCCAAAGCACTATCCCAGGGGACCCAGTTTCTACGGAAGAGATGGTCATTGTCACGCATCCATTCAGTAATTCCAAGCACCTGCCACGTGCCAGGACAGGACTAGAAAGTTGAGACGGATCGGTGAGCCCCCTGGCCCAGTCCCTGCCTGAACTGAATGTCAGGAGACTGACCTGGGAGCACAGACCCTGGCCGACGGCGGGGCGGGGCGGGGGGTGACCCCCAGACTGGAGGTTCAATAAAGATCGGCACGAAGGGATGTTGTCCCAAGTCAGACCTCCTTTCTGTAATGGCCCCGCTCCAGATGCTTCCTCCCTCCCTGAATGGCCGCTGGAAACATTGCGCTGAGCTCAGGGCTTCACTGTCCCAAACCTCAGAATCATTTCCCAGGCAGAGAAACCTAAAAACCTGTCCTGCGAAGATGCAGCTTCAGAGGGGCTGGAAACCGCCCTTCATGGGCGCAGAGGCTGCATGTGACCAGGGGCAAGGCCGGGAGTTGGAGACGGAGCCAAAGCCCGACCGGGGGGGGGTGGGGTGTGTGTGTGGAGGGGGGCTGGGGTGTCAGTCCTCAGCTAATAAAGGGGACTGTGCACCTGGGAGATGCCAGAGGCAGGCCCCCCCTGGGACCTGGGCTTGTGGCGTGAGGAGAGATGCCCGGGGGAACACCAGGAGTTCCCGCCCCTGACCCGCGCCCTGCACAGACTAGACACACCCAAATTGGGCTCCCGGCTGCGGGGGGCTGACAGCCTGGCAGATCTGGGCCTTGCCGCGTCTCCGGCTTCTTTTCGAGGGCTTGGAAGCCTGTGTGTGTGTGTGCAGTCTTGGGGGAAAAAAATAACCCTAACCCTCTGCTTCTCTCATCCTTCCCTCTTCTGTGTATATGTCTGTCTCTCTCTCTCTCTCTCTGTGCGTGCCCTCCCCCCGCCCCATCTTCTCTTTTGGTTTCCTGCTACTTCTGGTGGCTCGTGGTCCCTCCCTGCCGGCAGAACTCGTCCAGCTCGGCCTCCTCCGAAGCCTCGGAAACCTGCCAGTCCGTGAGCGAGTGCAGCTCGCCCACCTCGGTCAGCTCAGGCTCCACCATGGGCGCCTGGGCGTCCACAGAGAAGGTGACCGGCTGGGCCCCCGGCCACCGCGGCCACCCTTCTCCGCCCCCCCTCCCCGCCCGCCACTGGCCGTCACCGCCGGGACCTGAAACTTGAAATCAACCAAAGGCACACCCTGAGCAGCCACTCTTGGGGACAGAGAGAGGGACAAGGCTGAGGGCTTTTTCTTGAATGGGCGCCGGGCTCCTGAGCCATGACCTTGCCGTCGTCCTGAGGGAGAGGAAGGGATATGGGGAACTCGGAGGTGGAAGGCTCCTTCCCAGAACAATGCCGTGTGCTCATCCATCTCCCCCTTGCCGTCCCAAGCCCCCCTCCCCCACTGTGGCCCCCTTGTCGCCGTAGCCACACCGCCCGATGGGACCTCCCGCTGCATCAGAGGCTGTGTGCTTTTCTGCCTTTTAGTTTGCTGACCCCTCCTCCCTCTTCACCCCGATTTGGAATCTGCTCCTGAACAGTGTGATGATTTCGGAAACCTAGAATGAACAGATTTAGTTGACGCTTGAGAATGTTTAAATTTGCATAATGAGATGAGCAGATCACGATCACCCTGAAACTCTGCTTCGTTGGCTAAATGATCAAAAACCATTGGGAACGCCACAAGTGAAGGACACTGGTCAATTTCCACACTATTCCAGAATGTAGATAAGTTATGTCCTTGACCGAGCACTTGCCTGGTGTCCCACGGGTACTCTTTGCCCCGTGGCCCTTTCCGCCCCACGGATCATCCACGAGCAGCAGAGCCCCGCCGCTTGTTTGCCGGATAAAGGCTCCGGTCCCCTCCTCCCTTGAATGTCAATGCCATCTTGTACCTCCACACTCATCCTGTTATATTAATTTTATTTTCCTTTCTCCCCCCCCCTTTTTTGTTTGTTTTGTTTCCAGTTGTCTAACGGGTTTTCTCACTGTAGTTTGCCAAGTGAATCCCATGTGGGGCCCGTGGGGGCAAGCCTTTCCCCTCATTGCCCGCCTGCCTCCCGCCTGCTCCCTCGGGTCACCTCTGTCCACCTTCCAGACTTCGCTCATTATCACACCATTGGGCCCGGCATGTTCCCGTCATCTCAGATCCCTAGCTGGAAGGTTTGTGTCTCTCCTCCCTCCCCTCCTCTCCTCTCCCTCCGCCCCCTCTCATGGCTGTGCTCCCCCCACTTCTGTCCCACGATCCCTCATCCTGACCCCCCTCAGCCCTCCCTTCCACACTCTGCCTTCCTCCCCACAGAACCCCTCTCCCTAAGAAAGTTCCCACCGGGAAGAACCAAAAAGCAGCAGGCAGATCTGAGGGAGAAATTTCCACGCGGAGCTGAGATGGGAGAGGCTCCCTGTCACGCACCTTCCCTCAGCCCGGGCAGACGGTGGCGCCCGACAGGGCCGTGTGCAGTTCCGCGCTGCTGGGGGCCGCTGCGGGGTGTCAGTATTACAGGGGCTGGGAGCCACTGCCCTCCCCGGCCGCGTGCCCCAGACTTGCCCCTCGAGTCCCTTACTGGGCCACGGCAACAGAACCATAATGCAAACTGGGGGTTGGCTTACCATGCTTGATCTCAAAAGTAAATGCAGACTTTATTTTTTAGTCTCATTTGTTTACTCTCAAAATGTGTTTGCCTTAATACAAAAACAAAGTTTTAAAATGAGTTCCTAGCAAGTCCAATCCTATTCTGAGAGGTGGTGTCCCTACTTTGAATAGTAGGTGACCCCAGGCTGCGGCATTTTGAGGTCTCGACTTAATCCCTCACAAGTAGTGTGGACCCCTCATGCTCCTCAAAAATCTTTCTGCTGACCCCAGAGGCCTTCCCTCCCTCTGTGAGGGCCTCAGGGGGGCACTTCCCGGGTGCCCTTTGGGGCCCAGGCCCAGTTTCCTGGAGGCGGAGGTTCAGCCTCAGCGGGAGGGGCTGACTCCCGTTAGTGCCCCCTGGTGGCCACTTGGCTCAAGTGAAGTCATTTGGGCTGGAGGAGAGGGGGTCCCTTCAGACACCCGCAGGGAGGGCCTGGTCCCCGGGGCATGTGCTGTCCACCGGCTGGGGCCTTCAGACACCTTAGACAGTTGGTCAGCTGCAGGTGGCTACTAACTAAGAGTCACTCACAGGTACCTGCCTGGTTGGTGAGGGTGTTTCATCTTTGGGCGGATAGGAGGAAAGGGGAGGTTCCCCGGGGGCCCCCGCCAAAGGATTTTCCAGTCCCTCCTTTTAGAGCCGGGTGAGGATGCAGTAGAAGGGCCTGCTGGCCTGTCCTAGCCCGAGCTTCCCCAGAGGCCGGCTGCCTTCTGTGGGCAGCTGTCCGGAGGCTTCTACAGCCTTCCAGATGGCGGAGGCCAGGCGCCTGACGGCGTGCCTTCTGCTTAGGACTGGGCCAAGCCAGGACCCTACGACCAGCCTCTGGTGAACACCCTACAGCGCCGCAAGGAGAAGCGGGAGCCAGACCCCAGTGGAGGAGGGCCCCCGGCCGCGGGTGGCGCGCCCGCAGCGGCTGACGAAGCGCAGAGACCTCGGAGCATGACCGTGTCAGCTGCCACCAGGGTGACGCGCTTTTTTTTTTTTTTAAGATTTTATTTATCTGACAGAGACACAGCGAGAGAGGGAACACAGGCAAGGGGCGTGGGAGAGGGAGAAGCAGGCTTCCCGCGGAGCAGGGAGCCCGATGCGGGGCTCGATCCCAGGACCCTGAGCTCATGACCTGAGCCGAAGGTAGATCCCTAACGACTGAGCCCCCCCAGGCGCCCCAGGGTGACGCTTTTATTCGCTACAGCTGGTTGGACCCCTCTAGCCCTGGCTGGCGGCCGTGTGCTGACCGGCACAGGGGGCCGAGTCAGCCCGGTACTGGAGGGGCTTGAGCCCCGTGCCCCCACTCCCTGTTCTGTAGTGATTAGAGGGCCCCCAGGGAAGAGCCTGGCACTGAAATCGGACTCCTGGAACTTTCTAGAGCCTGGGTAGGACCCACAGACGGGTGATGTTCACGGGAGCGGGTTAGGAGTAATACTGAGGCTCCCACTTGAAGGACGCAGAACGGCTCTGGGGACATGGGACAGGGGATTCACGGCCCTGGTGGCTTGTCTGTGTCTCTGTCGCCTCCCCGCTGCAGCCTGGCGAGGAGATGGAGGCGTGCGAGGAACTGGCGCTGGCCCTGTCGCGGGGCCTCCAGCTGGACACCCAGAGGAGCAGCCGGGACTCGCTGCAGTGCTCCAGCGGCTACAGCACCCAGACCACCACCCCGTGCTGCTCGGAGGACACCATCCCCTCCCAAGGTACGAGGCAGCCCGGGCTGGCCGGCGGCGCTTCCCGAGCAGTGCCGGCGGAGAAGCGGCGGCCTCCCTCCTGGGCGGGGGCCGCGCAGCCACAGCGACTGCGCCGCGGTCTGTGGTGGTCAGGGCGCCCCGAGCCCGAAGCCCCGGGTTCGGAACCCATTCCGCCCAGTCCCCCGGGAGCCCTGCGTCCCTCAGCGCCGCGCGCGCCAGCCAGGTGGCAGCCCAGGGGCCAGAGGAGGGGTGTGTGGGGGGGGGGGACCGATCCGATTGCAGCCCGTCGCTCCAAGCTCCTCAGAGTGCGTGGGCCCCCGCAGGGCCGTTTTGCTGTCCCGGGGAGCAGCGGGCGGCGCGTGGGGTCCTCCGGGGCGCGCTGCTGGCCGTCCCGCAGTGCCGCGGCGGGTGCTGCGGCGGCTCAGAAACCCGCCCTGAGCCCCACCGCCCTCGGGAGCCCGGGTGCCGAGACGAAGCGCGCACGCCTCGGGCTGCAGCCTGACCTCGCGCGTGTTTTCGGGGGCTCGGCGCCCGGGGCTCCGATCTCTCTCCTGCCTTTGCCCGACGCGTGACTCGGGGGGGCGGTGGTAGTCGGGCTGAGGCTGGATCCTCGCGTCCGCTTCGGGACCGGCGGGGGTGTGGAGTTCCTCGTCTCTTCCCGCCCGCCCCCTTATTCCTCCGGGAGACGCTGGGAGGCAGCGAGCCCGCTCTGGGCGTCCGCTGCCGTCCTGGGGCCCAGGGTTAGAGCGGGGAACCGAAGACCCCTGCGGGGACTGCTCAGACGTCGAGGGCTTCTCAGGATGGTGCAGAGATTGGGGGAGGCTGGGGATGAGGTGGCGGGTAAAGCATCCTGCCTCTTGTGCCTTTTGTTCCTCCGACACCAAAGAACCGAAAAGCAGAGCTGCTGCCGCGGAGAGTCCTAATCAAATCTTATCATCAGTTTCAGATTATGATTATTTCTCTGTAAGTGGCGACCAGGAGGCAGATCAGCAGGAGTTTGACAAATCCTCCACCATCCCGAGAAACAGCGACATCAGCCAGTCCTACCGACGGATGTTCCAGGCCAAGCGCCCAGCCTCAACGGCTGGCCTCCCCACCACCCTCGGACCGGCTATGGTCACCCCGGGGGTTGCAACCATCCGACGGACCCCTTCCACCAAGCCTTCTGTCCGCCGGGGGACCATCGGGGCCGGCCCCATCCCCATCAAGACCCCCGTGATCCCCGTCAAGACCCCAACCGTCCCAGACCTCCCCGGGGTGTTGCCCGCGCCCCCGGACGGGCCAGAGGAGAGGGGTGAGCACAGCCCCGAGTCGCCGTCTGTGGGCGAGGGCCCCCAGGGTGTCACCAGCATGCCCTCCTCCATGTGGAGCGGCCAAGCCTCCGTCAACCCTCCTCTCCCAGGCCCGAAGCCAAGTATCCCCGAGGAGCACAGACAGGCGATTCCAGAGAGCGAGGCCGAAGACCAGGAGAGGGATCCCCCAAGTGCCACTGCTTCCCCAGGCCAGATCCCGGAGAGCGACGCTGCAGAGCTGAGCCCGAGAGATACTCCGCAAGGGGAAGACATGCTGAACGCCATCCGAAGGGGCGTGAAACTGAAGAAGACCACGACCAACGACCGCTCAGCCCCTCGCTTCTCGTAGGCGCGCTAGGCTCCCAAGAAACGCTGCCAGTGGGGGAAGGAACTGTTTAATTCATAAAACCTAATTTGTCTCGATCCATTCCAATCTATAATCAGACAAAAGATTTTGTAGGCAACTCAGAATACAGCTCTTTTGAAAGTACTCGACACCTTTAGATAAGAATTAAAAGCAACATATGTAACTGACATAACTTTGATCTTTTAATTTGTAAATATTGACCGTTTTCTTTCTGCACATTCTTAGTTTCCCTTTTGATTTTTCTGAAGGTGCCAAATTCCATTTAACTTTTTTACAAGTCTTTGTAAAATTTTAAATGCATAATGGGTTGGGGGGGTGGTCGGGGCAAGGGGAAACACAAAGTAGTTAATTTCAGAAAAAAAGATAGCTCTACTTATTAGCCTTTTCTTTTCTCTCCTTTTTTTCCTGCAAGCTTTTGTAGATGCATTGTAGTAGTCTGGCTTAGAAGCAAATTCAAGTTATTTTAATGTACAAACAAAATGGATCAAGGGTTAAAATCTTCATTTACATGTAGTATGTTCTGGCTGAGAAAAGCAGGGGTAACAAATGATGAGCAATATTCGGAGTGAAGTAAATCCGGAAATGGTAGACTCTGTTGGGATTGGGGGGGGGAGGGCCGTGGGAGGGGCACACAGTCAACATAGCCGATCCTGTTAACATTTAAGAGTAGCCTCGTAGGTTGAATTTCTAGTAGCTTCATGGTAAATGCATCCGAATAAGCCATACTGGATTGCAGTGTTTGTTTCTGTAGGGTGTTTAAGGACTTCCTTTGTCCCACGATTCCTCTTGACTGCACACAGCACCCACCTCCAGTCCCGTGCATGCTGCCGCCACCGGGTAGACCCAGAGCTCCCCCCCCCCCCCCTTCAGTTACTCGTCTCTCCTACCCACGTTCATTGAATCCAAATACATCCAAAAAGGGTAAGGCAGTTTTAAAAATGTGAAAACATTTAAAAATGATAGCAGGGAATTCTTAGATATAGCCAATGCCTTTTACTTAACCGTGCCCAGCAGGCTGGGCGCGTTGAAAAGCCCAAATATTTTGAACAAACTCGAGCGGATTTAACAAGGGTAACCAGCTTGGAATCTAGCAACTTGCCAATGTGTTTACCGACCTGGGGGCTTGTTTTTCTTCTCTTCTTTTAAATAAGTGGCAGTTAATTGGCATCATACCAAACATTGAAGAGCGGAGGATTTATTTATTGTCACTGGGAATCTGACCACTATACTGTCCCTTCTTTTTTTTTTTTTTTTGGTATTCTAGGTAATGTTTTTTGGAATGGATTTATGTCTTTTTTAAGTGAAAGTTAAATTTGTTCTAATGCCCATTCCCTAAAGCCAACAGAGATTTGTAGATTTAAAGGGATCTTGTTTGGAGAAGACATGTTCAAAAGGACCAAGCAAGCCCCTTAGCACTCGGGTCAGTTTCTCTTGAAGAAACCGGAGCTTGGTGGGTCCCGCAGACCCTGCAGGTTTCTGTTGGCTCTAATCTTCAGTTACATAATCTTCTGCTTTAATACCTAACTGCACTGGATGTGAGAGTAACGCACCTGTATAGTCACTGTTCTAGATATTAACATTTAACACTGCTGTGATTGCTCAAGGGCATTTTATGTTATGGCTTTAAAGCAAAGGCATGATTATTAGAAACTATTTAAGCTTTTTTTCTTTGAAGAACAAGCTCCTTCTACAGAATATAAGCAACAGTAGTGCCTGTGGTTTAGCCCACCAATCTTGATGACTACAAGTAGCTGATGCATTGTGCATATGATGCTTGAGATGGTTTTTGCAAAAGCAGAAATCACTGCAAGGTAATGACAATAGATAAAAGTGGTATTTTAAACCTTGGAAATAAATGGATGTAACTGTACCTTGGTACAGCTTTTCACTTGTTTAGTTTTTAAACGCTAGTATAATCTGAATAAATTTAATATAAAATGTTGCCAAATTCAATGTAGAAAGAATGTGACGACACACCTTGGGTAGTTCTGTTTGTGTTTTTGCATATTGTAAAAGCAGGGTCACAGCTAAAAATAAAGAAATCGTTTCTAAAGGTAAATTATTGTGGTTTAGTTGCTAGTTTGTACTGAGAGTTGACCTCTCCCCGTGCAGTTTTTTGTTCTAAACTTGTATAAATAACAGTTGTGTAATGTGTCTCCCTTCTACCTTGTAACAATCGCTTCAGCCTACATTATAAATAAAGAACCACTAGAAAAAGTCCTGGATGTCAAGACTTATTAAGATTCAGTTCCAAGTCTTCATCAACTGTTAGGAGACGCACGCAGACTCCAACTGGGCTTACTTAGGAAACCAGAGAACATTACTTCTGGGATGGCCCTGGGCCCTAAGAACACTAGCAGCTTCCACTCATGAACTGTTTGAACGTAATTCTAGTGAGTTATCACCAACTGAAAGCCAGTGGGTTTGGTTGATGATGGTTTTAAAAATGGCTCTACCTTTTAAAGACACTGCTTCCAACACTTAGAGTTCTGCTGTCCCCTTACCTGGGAGCCCGCAGACCACCCAAGCTACAGTAGAGAGGCAGAGCCGGAAAACCGTCCCGGGGAAGCTTCACCCCAGCCCCCAAACCTCCGCTCCCGAGCAAAGCCCGTGAACTCCAGGCTGATTCGTTGAGTATGTGCTGCTTAGAGTTAACCTTTTAATCACACTAAAATGTCATTCCTGGCACCTTTACAAAACCAAAATGTTTTCTCAAGTCCTCAGGATTTGCATACCTTCTCTTGACTTTGTATTCATCCCAGTCACTAAGCCTTCAAATAGGGTTTGTTCAACTAAAATCCTCAAGAGTAAATCTTGTATCTGGTTCTGCTATTTTCCCTGATAACACGTGCTAGCAATAGGACTTCCTGGGGCAGAGGACACTTGGCCACACTTCCCATACTTCTCTGCGCAAGTGGAAAGAGACAACGGGGGCACACGCGCTTGGCGTCGTGCAGACCCCCAGAAGAACGCAGCAGTCGTACCGTATTGAGTTACTTTTATTAGGGCAAGTGTGTCTATGTGCTGTAAATTATTTCACTTGCAAGCGCGACTGGCTGGTGGGGTGTCTCCCTCTCCCGCTACATGGGCCGCTCCCGGGGCCTGGTCACAATGTGCCACCACAGTGGGGGCAGATCACCTTCCTTCCGGGCCGGGGGCAAAGCTTCAGTGCTGGGACCACCAACTGGGGTTTCATCCTGTAGCTGCTTAACCTGGAAAGGCGGAAGGGAGGAACCATCAGAGTCGAGCTGACTGGAAAACCTGCCGCGGTGGTTTTTATATATACCTGCATTATGTTTATACCCACAGTTTAACTCAGAGAAACAATTCTGCTTAAGGGTTTTCCCATTCTTAAAACAGCAAAGCTGAGAAATCCTCCCACCCCATCTCTTACGATGCAAAACTGACCATTACTGGTCCCATTCCCTTTGTTATGGTCCCCAACCTGTACCCCCTAAAAAATATTTTTATGTCTCAGCTACATGCCCTCCAAAAGCACCATTAGGAAACCTTAATTCATATATATTAGAGATGTTCATTTTAAAGCCTCCCCCCAATAGCAACCAGGACAAGAGATACCATGAAATCACATGTGAAAATGTGCTCTGTTCTGCCTGATCCTGCCCACCCACCCCAAGTTCAGTGATCTCCAAGACTATCACTGTCCCCATAGAAGAGGACATGTAAGGGACCCCCTCCCCAAATAATGGTTTTCTAAAGCTTCCTCCAGAAAACTCAATTCTGGATCGTGGGTGACCTGAGTCTCCAGCGTATGTGCTGTTTAATAACAGTGAGACGAACTAGGTAAAGAAGGTTTTTGTGGAGAAGAAGACGTTATCTGGCACCAACTGAAGAGCAAACCTGCTGCTCTCCATGAATAAACACACCTCCTGTTTACAAATGAGGAGACATTTCTTAGCAAGCACTGCCCTCCTTGGTCACAATGACTCTCCTTTCACTCCACCTTGGCCAACAACTTCTGCAGTCAACATCCTGGACCTTATCACCAGAACCCATATAACTTTCAAATTACATATAACTTAAAAGAACATATAAGTCATGAATCAGGGGCGCCTGGGTGGCTCTGTCGGTGAACTGTCTGACTCTTGGTTTTGGCCCAGGTCACGATCTCAGGGTCCTGGGATCAAGCCCCACATTGGGCTCTGCCCTGAGCAGGGAGTCCGCTCAAGGATTCTCTCCCTCTGCCCCGCCCCCCAGCTCGAGTGCGTGCTCTCTAAATCTTAAAAGACAATCGTGGATCAAATATCCCACTAACCACAGAAGCCCTCTCCAGCTCATGTGCTTAAATGTCCCCTTGAGGGCGCCTGGGTGGCTCAGTTGGTTAAGCGACTGCCTTCGGCTCAGGTCATGATCCTGGAGTCCTGGGATGGAGTCCCGCATCGGGCTCCCTGCTCGGCAGGGAGTCTGCTTCTCCCTCTG